GTCTGCTGGATATACAGTCCACACTTCGAACATTTAGCAGTCAGGTTAGACGGCTTCCGACTCCCTTCAACCCAGGCATGCCCAAGCTGTTGTTTACCAGCAATCAAGTTTTCAAGTTGCAGCCGCTTATTAGGTCCCTTCTCCTTTGAAAACTTTTTCGTTTTGATGACAGCAGAATCACGAACACGAGGCTTCGCCCGAGCTTTCCGCTGGTCCTTATCCGGCCACTGCACCTGAGGGCCCTGGTCCTTGTCATAAGAGAGAAGGGCTGCAGAGCGCTTGGCCAACAAGGTGTTGACCTGAGTGATCACAGCATCCAGCTTCTTGATGCTGGACTCATAGAGTGGATCTCTTCTTTGTTCAGCCGCTTCACCCACCAGGCGGTCGACCAGCTCATTGGCCCGCCTACGCCAGAGTTGGTTGGCACCAAACCGCGCAATGAACTTGGGAACCGAAAGGTGCGACGCAATCCAAGTGGGGCGGATTCTGTGGGAATGCTCCCTGATTGGCTCAAAAAGATCAGCCGACTGGATGGAAGGTTTCCCCTGGATCCTAGGGAGAATCCCTTTACAATCCATTGTGAGGTCAACATCCCCTTGAGTGTGCTCGGCAACAAATTTAACAGCAGCCGCCTCCGCCCGGAACACCGAAAGCGGGGTTTGCAAGGTACCAACCGCCGTTGCAATAACAGCGGGTTCAGCATCATCCAGTCTAAAGGCAATTGCAGCCCACGTATAGCGATGAAATCGGACATCTTTGGATCGGCCTGGGGAGCCATCGGTGGCGAAATAAACCCCTTCTCCACTGATGAGCTGAGATTCATTCCACGCTCCCGTTGTGCGCACCCATTGGCCATCGTCAGGGTAGGAGGTAGCCGGGGTCATCCCCCTAGACCATAAGGAGGAAATCGGCCACTCTTTTCTGAATCTTTCAAAAGCAGGAGGCTCTGGGAGGTTGGTTAGCCACCAGGAACACTCCCATAGCACATGATTCAAAGTTGCAGCGCATCCGCATGTGAGGCAGGTCGCACATGGGTCTGCCCGGATTGCACCCTGCCACACCGCCATGAGCGATGTTTTGTGCTGCGGCGGCAGCCTACATCTAAGCTTTTTGAGCGGGTGCCAATCGATTCCAGTCAAGAGGGGCGAGAGGGAATCCTGCTGGGCAATGCGAGTATGCCTCCACCTATCCGTTTCCAAGGCAAGGGAGCACAGTAGATGATGCATGCCGACCTTAGTGGTGATCTGGCATGTGTCTTCCGGGCATTTCCATGCTGGGGTCCAACCCAAGTCAACCAGGTAACACAGCAGTGCCCCTACTGGACCAGCAGCGCGCTTCCAAGGATATTCGGCTTGCTGGTACTCCATCCACATGTCAGGCAGTATGTCATCAAAATGCTGTTTTTGCCTGTCAGGGATAAAACACAGCAACCGGTGGATCGCTTTGAAGTCCGGGTCCGGTCTCTTAGGTGCAGCATGGTCGATCGTCAGATCCACCGAACCCAGCGACATGCGCCCCAATTCATGCGCGAAGGAGGCACGCAGCCAGTGCATCCTTTTGGGAGCAAGTCCAACAGACTCATGGCCATACATGCCCACGGTTTGCACTCCCGCTCTTAAAGCACGGACCCTGACAGGTGTCGACTTAACCCGAAGAGTCGAAAGCCTAGCGCAACGCTTAACCCTTACCAAACCTTTTCCGGTGCACCGGGATACGTCTCCTTCGACCAGCAGTGCAATCAATGCCCAAATCCTTGGCAGCATCCTTGATTTGTTCAGACTCAGGAAGGTACCCTTTTAAGGCAGCCTCGACCTTCTTTGACGAACACACAAAGGCCGTCTTGCCAATGCTGATGGGAAGTCCAGCTTGCTCTAAGCCCCCCACCACAGCTTTGTACAGCTGCGCTGCCCTGCGCGCAGCTAGCTCAGGGCTAGCAGCTTCAGTGTCAAAACTAGTGTCATCGACATAAAGGTCAATGGTTTTGGCAAGCCCCGTATTCCATGCCGGGCGTAAGATGCTGTCGAAGGGGATCTTGCTGAGTCCCGGGGCAAAGGGGCAACCAGCTACCAAGCCCTTCGTCGGCTTGATAGGCCCAGAGATACACTTTTCAGCACTGATCCATCTCGGCGCACTGTAAAGTGAGATTGCAGCATTTAAAATGAGCGGGGGTACCTCAAGGGCAAGGGCCTGGGCCACAAAACTGTGGTGAGAGACATTTTCATAAAATGCTTTAAGGTCCAAAAGCACCGTTACACCGTGTCTCTTTTTCCGGTACAGGATCTCATGAGACATTTTACGGCGCAACGCAACATCAAGACTTGATAAGCCCTTCTTGGCGCGGTCCCAGTCTTGGGTGGCGGCATACTTATCAAGCCATGCTTTGAAGACCGGCCATCGGAGTTTGGCCCATAAGCGATATGGCACAGGAGTCAGTCCAATCGGTCGCTCCTCATCCTCAGACTTGTTGATGAGAGCGACAAGAACAAGAGAAAGTTGGGCCGGGAAACAACCCTGACGTTCCCAAGTGTTGAAGAACGCAGCCAACCTTTCCAATTGCACTGGGGCCAACTTCTGCAGCATCTGTACACTCCAACCGTCAGCACCAATGGCTTTCTGGGGCATTTTCTTAATGGCTTTCTCAACCATAGAGCCAGTAATCGGCTGGAGCGTCCTGGCTTGGGCAACTGCTGCGTGTTGTAACTCGTGCCAATCAATTAAGAGGTTATCTCCATTGCCTGGCAGAGGCCGCCATACTTCAGCCCAATGTGCCCTGCGTATGTGCGGTCGAATTTCAAGGGGGATGTGTCTGTACGGTCTGTCCGGAATCAAATCCTCAGACTTAAGAGCCCTATACAGACCTCTCATACCCCCTTTACACGCCGCTTCCAGCCATTGACTATAGGCCTCTTCACTCTGCTTGACGGCTTCCTTCAGAGCGGCTCGCCCTTGGAGCCCAATGATGTCAAGAGCTTGCGTGTGACTTTGAAGGTCATCTGCATCAAGCAGGCATTCCAAGGCTTGGAGAGTGTGTGGTGGCATGTCGATCCAGTGATCGTTCATCCTCGCCTGAGTGAAGAGCGACATCACTCTGACTTCAGGGTTACTTCCAAGTGCTTTCGAAGTCCAGAGGAGGAAGGACTGCCAAAAGGCCGGCCTCGAGCCTTTCCAAATTTTTTCCGGGCTGCTGGTTTTAACAAGGGGAAGGAACGTGTCTTCCAGTTTCCACCCACGACCCGCAGCAGCAGAAAAGAGTTGCTCCTCAACCCCAGCACTGAAGGAAGCCCACTCATGGTCAAGTGGTTGGGAGGTATCCCACAAACCACGTGCTTGAGCCTCAGGGAGATGCAACTCATCAGGGCATGATGCGGTTGGCTCAAGGGAGAATCCCTTCAGTTGCCGGAGAGGCAGGTCCACAACCTCAAGCCTCAGCTCAACGGTAACCGCAGCGTGGGGTTTGAACGGAACACGTGCAACCCCCTGAGCCCTTGGTGGATAACCAGGCTCAGGGGATGAGGAATCCTGGAGTCGTGCTTCGGGAAAATCCTCAGCTTGAGCAGCACAATCCTGTGCACCGCCCCCCAGCCTTGGTGGCAAACCAGGCTGAGAGGGATGAAGCCCCTGGAATTGTCCTTCGGGAGAATCCCCATGCACCTGGGGCTGGTCCGGTTTTGGAGAAAGCGAGGAGGAGCCAATGGTGCCTGATCCCATTGTGCATCCGGAGCCTCCCCCAGCACCGCCAGCTACGCCTATGCTGCGCGCCCCGTTGAACTTTGATGGTATGGATCAGGAAGCGGGCGCAGCCTTTGCTATTGCTGAGAGGGCTCGCAATACCAAGCCAGGATTGGTGGCTTTCAAATCCGATCTGGGCTATGCTGGTGTCTTCCAGGCCCTCCCCAAGGACCTGATCCACGTGTGGTTCAATGACACGGGGGACAGCACTGCGGCGTATATCCACAATGGAAGAACCAGGTTCGGATATGATGTTGGCGGTGGCTACGTCTTGAAGGTTGGGACGAAGCAGGCGTTTGGGGATGAGGTGGCGATTTCGGCCTTGCTTCCTAAGGTGGCAGCCACCATCATTGGGGCTGGATCTACGACACTGCAGGTGCTGCTCTCTGGGCGACCATGGGAGTTCAGGTCCCATTTGGTGGCTTGGTCGATGGTGGAAAAAGTCGAGCTCCTCACGGATTTTGGTTCTAGGAACCAGATCCACCCTCAGTGGTCCTTGTATGCCTTCGCCCTCCTTTTGCAATTGAGCCGTCATTTTGCTCTTCGTGATGTGTCAAAAACCAACCTGGGCATTAAACCAGGACTCAGTGCTGCGACGCCCATGTTGTGTTTTTTCGATCTCGCGGATTGGCACTTCGAAGGGCTCAATGCTGGAAGTTGGTTTCCCAAGTATAGCTTGCGCAGTTTCATCGAGACCCTTCGATGTGTCTGTGACGTCACGCCGTTGGAGCCGTATCTCCGCAGGCAGGCGGTGGTCCCTTGCCTCAACGATATCATTGCGGTTCTCCCCGCTGCGCTCAAGGCAAACTTGGAAATCCAAATGGTCCTCATGAACGGCCGACTTTCTGATTGGGCTCACCTTGCTGCATTGGCTAACCAATAGGCTTGGGCCCAAGCTTGTTGTGTCAGTCAGGTCTTGGGTTCTCCAGACCATATCCCCTGGGGCCAGCCTGGGTTGACGTGTGGAACTGCATACGCGCCTCTATGCTGAGCCACTGGCATGTGTTACCCGGCCTAAGCTTGGTGCTCCAGGCTAGAAGGGGTGGTGTGACGGCCAGTGGTGTTACCAGGCCTAAGGCGTGGTGATCCAGCCTGCAGATGAGCCGGCAGTAGTTGCTTGTGTACCATAGGGTAGGTGTTCCACCGACTGTTTCACCTGAGCCATTGTGGCCACAGGGTAGGTGTCCCCCCGACTGTTTCACCTGAGCCAATGTGACTCCAAAGGCCTACGGCCGCCTCGTGCTTGTGGTGTAAAATTCACCTGGGATGAGATGCCACTCCCACCTTTTCCCACACAACAACCGCCTCCATGCGATGAACCGGCTTGGGTGTTACCCAGCCGAACTTTCAAACCCTCGTCCTCTTGCAAGGCCTCCCCCTTGAAGACCTCTGGGCCCAAGTACTTCTCCAGGGCCGTGTTTGATGATGCAGATCATGTTGTTTCATCCTTGGACACACTTGAGGCCTCCCCTAGTCCCAGGCCCCGGAAGAGCACCATATCGAAGCCAAGGCCCAGTCAAGCCCACAAAAAACAGGTTCAGGAGTGGAAGGCCCTCCTCCACATCCTTGAGGCTGCACCTGTGATGGATATGCCTGCCAAAGAGGCTGATCCGCTCCAGTGGATTGAGGACTTTGGCGGTCAATATGAAACAGGGTCTTTAGCGGAGTGGACTTTGAACCGTATCTGCCAGCTCCTTGAGCAATCCAAGGATGACACCCTGGGTGTGATTGAGGCTGTTGACGCTGTGCTGGCTGGCTTCTGTAAAAAGGGGTCAGATAGCAAGCTTCTGCTGATTGGTCAGGCCAATATCACCACCTATCGAAGTGAGATTCGAACTTGGTTGGTGGATCGGGATGAGTCCTTTTGGCTTTTGCAGGAGACACATGTCACTGAATCAGACACCAGAGCCCTGGTGAACAAATTCCAATCTGTTGGAAAGCAAGCTTGGGCGGGCCCTGCTGCACCGACCCAGGGAGGATCTTCAGGGGGCCTCCTCACCCTGGCTCCTTCCCATCGCAATGCGGCGACTGGCCCGGCTTTCCTCTTGGATGGCAAAGGGTTTGTGTCGGTTTCAATTAGGTTTAGGGGTTGGGACCTCCTCCTGGTCAACCTTTACCTCCAGTCCGGTGTGGGCCCGACCGGAGGGGTTAACCCGGAGATCCTTAGGAGGTTGGCTGCGCTCCTTAGCCAAACCAGCACGCCCTGGCTGGTTCTTGGTGATTGGAACTGCCCTCCTGATGAACTCCTACGACTTGGATACCCTACCATGGTTAAGGGCCGGTTGGCGGTGCCGACAAGCCCCACAATCAATACGGGGGGAACTTTGGATTATGCGTTAGCGTCGGCCAATCTAGCGCCGGCCATTACACTTACTCCTTGTTGGGACGTTGTGGCCCGGGCTCAGGAGCTTGCTCGTCCTGTGGTTCCACCCTTCTCCGCCTAGGGGGCGGGGGGTTCACACCAGCAGGCGGCGCTCGCATCTTAGGAGCTGCACCTCTAAGCCGAGCTCTCTCACGCTTGCCCGGCCGGGCTTTTGAGTACGCCTTAGAGGCAGGGGACTTATGCTTCGGCGGCATACTTAGAAGGCAATCTTAGCTTGCTTGAGCCCAGACTGCTTCGAGTTTGATTTGGGTTTCGGTTTCGGGAGCACGTTCCGGGCATGTGGTTCCTGACTGGCCGTAGGCTGGAAGAAAGACTTCACACTCCTAACACCAGTGTCAGTCACCTCCTTCGCCTTTTTGGAACTAGCCGTTGCAACTTTACTCACCTTAGGCTTACAGGGTTGGCCGATCCAAGAGGGAATTTTGCGGACTCCTACCTTGACCATCCTGTCACACTTGGAACAAACCCACGACACCCCCAAATTAACCCACACGTGGTCAGGGTGAGGGCCCCATGGGGGGGGGTCAGCTGGGACTCCAAGGCACGGGTGCGAGGACTTAAGGGAGAAGGCATGAATGGGGTCTGTCTGCTGGATATACAGTCCACACTTCGAACATTTAGCAGTCAGGTTAGACGGCTTCCGACTCCCTTCAACCCAGGCATGCCCAAGCTGTTGTTTACCCGCAATCAAGTTTTCAAGTTGCAGCCGCTTATTAGGTCCCTTCTCCTTTGAAAACTTTTTCGTTTTGATGACAGCAGAATCACGAACACGAGGCTTCGCCCGAGCTTTCCGCTGGTCCTTATCCGGCCACTGCACCTGAAGGCCCTGGTCCTTGTCATAAGAGAGAAGGGCTGCAGAGCGCTTGGCCAACAAGGTGTTGACCTGAGTGATCACAGCATCCAGCTTCTTGATGCTGGACTCATAGAGTGGATCTCTTCTTTGTTCAGCCGCTTCACCCACCAGGCGGTCGACCAGCTCATTGGCCCGCCTACGCCAGAGTTGGTTGGCACCAAACCGCGCAATGAACTTGGGAACCGAAAGGTGCGACGCAATCCAAGTGGGGCGGATTCTGTGGGAATGCTCCCTGATTGGCTCAAAAAGATCAGCCGACTGGATGGAAGGTTTCCCCTGGATCCTAGGGATAATCCCTTTACAATCCATTGTGAGGTCAACATCCCCTTGAGTGTGCTCGGCAACAAATTTAACAGCAGCCGCCTCCGCCCGGAACACCGAAAGCGGGGTTTGCAAGGTACCAACCGCCGTTGCAATAACAGCGGGTTCAGCATCATCCAGTCTAAAGGCAATTGCAGCCCACGTATAGCGATGAAATCGGACATCTTTGGATCGGCCTGGGGAGCCATCGGTGGCGAAATAAACCCCTTCTCCACTGATGAGCTGAGATTCATTCCACGCTCCCGTTGTGCGCACCCATTGGCCATCGTCAGGGTAGGAGGTAGCCGGGGTCATCCCCCTAGACCACAAGGAGGAAATCGGCCACTCTTTTCTGAATCTTTCAAAAGCAGGAGGCTCTGGGAGGTTGGTTAGCCACCAGGAACACTCCCATAGCACATGATTCAAAGTTGCAGCGCATCCGCATGTGAGGCAGGTCGCACATGGATCTGCCCGGATTGCACCCTGCCACACCGCCATGAGCGATGTTTTGTGCTGCGGCGGCAGCCTACATCTAAGCTTTTTGAGCGGGTGCCAATCGATTCCAGTCAAGAGGGGCGAGAGGGAATCCTGCTGGGCAATGCGAGTATGCCTCCACCTATCCGTTTCCAAGGCAAGGGAGCACAGTAGATGATGCATGCCGACCTTAGTGGTGATCTGGCATGTGTCTTCCGGGCATTTCCATGCTGATGCACTGACCGGGGTCCAACCCAAGTCAACCAGGTAACACAGCAGTGCCCCTACTGGACCAGCAGCGCGCTTCCAGGGATATTCGGCTTGCTGGTACTCCATCCACATGTCAGGCAGTATGTCATCAAAATGCTGTTTTTGCCTGTCAGGGATAAAACACAGCAACCGGTGGATCGCTTTGAAGTGCTGGGAGATAATCGTGTAAGCCGGGTCCGGTCTCTTAGGTGCAGCATGGTCGATCGTCAGATCCACCGAACCCAGCGACATGCGCCCCAATTCATGCGCGAAGGAGGCACGCAGCCAGTGCATCCTTTTGGGAGCAAGTCCAACAGACTCATGGCCATACATGCCCACGGTTTGCACTCCCGCTCTTAAAGCACGGACCCTGACAGGTGTCGACTTAACCCGAAGAGTCGAAAGCCTAGCGCAACGCTTAACCCCCTTACCAAACCTTTTCCGGTGCACCGGGATACGTCTCCTTCGACCAGCAGTGCAATCAATGCCCAAATCCTTGGCAGCATCCTTGATTTGTTCAGACTCAGGAAGGTACCCTTTTAAGGCAGCCTCGACCTTCTTTGACGAACACACAAAGGCCGTCTTGCCAATGCTGATGGGAAGTCCAGCTTGCTCTAAGCCCCCCACCACAGCTTTGTACAGCTGCGCTGCCCTGCGCGCAGCTAGCTCAGGGCTAGCAGCTTCAGTGTCAAAACTAGTGTCATCGACATAAAGGTCAATGGTTTTGGCAAGCCCCGTATTCCATGCCGGGCGTAAGATGCTGTCGAAGGGGATCTTGCTGAGTCCCGGGGCAAAGGGGCAACCAGCTACCAAGCCCTTCGTCGGCTTGAGAGGCCCAGAGATACACTTTTCAGCACTGATCCATCTCGGCGCACTGTAAAGTGAGATTGCAGCATTTAAAATGAGCGGGGGTACCTCAAGGGCAAGGGCCTGGGCCACAAAACTGTGGTGAGAGACATTTTCATAAAATGCTTTAAGGTCCAAAAGCACCGTTACACCGTGTCTCTTTTTCCGGTACAGGATCTCATGAGACATTTTACGGCGCAACGCAACATCAAGACTTGATAAGCCCTTCTTAGCGCGGTCCCAGTCTTGGGTGGCGGCATACTTATCAAGCCATGCTTTGAAGACCGGCCATCGGAGTTTGGCCCATAAGCGATATGGCACAGGAGTCAGTCCAATCGGTCGCTCCTCATCCTCAGACTTGTTGATGAAAGCGACAAGAACAAGAGAAAGTTGGGCCGGGAAACCACCCTGACGTTCCCAAGTGTTGAAGAACGCAGCCAACCTTTCCAATTGCACTGGGGCCAACTTCCAGGTGAATTTTACACCACAAGCACGAGGCGGCCGTAGGCCTTTGGAGTCACATTGGCTCAGGTGAAACAGTCGGGGGGACACCTACCCTGTGGCCACAATGGCTCAGGTGAAACAGTCGGTGGAACACCTACCCTATGGTACACAAGCAACTACTGCCGGCTCATCTGCAGGCTGGATCACCACGCCTTAGGCCTGGTAACACCACTGGCCGTCACACAACCCCTTCTAGCCTGGAGCACCAAGCTTAGGCCGGGTAACACATGCCAGTGGCTCAGCATAGAGGCGCGTATGCAGTTCCACACGTCAACCCAGGCTGGCCCCAGGGGATATGGTCTGGAGAACCCAAGACCTGACTGACACAACAAGCTTGGGCCCAAGCCTATTGGTTAGCCAATGCAGCAAGGTGAGCCCAATCAGAAAGTCGGCCGTTCATGAGGACCATTTGGATTTCCAAGTTTGCCTTGAGCGCAGCGGGGAGAACCGCAATGATATCGTTGAGGCAAGGGACCACCGCCTGCCTGTTGAAAAACGTGGTAAACATCATGGCTCACTTTTCCTACCACGCTCTAAAGGCAAAACAACTTTTCTCGCTTTCGACTCTTGAGCCTAAGCCTCCGGTGTCAAACTCGTTCTGCTCAGACTCAACATGCCTTAGGGCATTTGGTGTCTTTCCTACTGCACCCATTCACTGTACCTGGATACATGCTGTACACTTAACACCCCGCCTCGGAACAGATCGAAGGCTTTAGGGCGTTCTCTTTCCTGCAGTGATTCTCACTGCTGTGCCAAAAGACGAAGAGCTGTTTCGGACTTCAAGTGTACTGAACTGGGGACATTCGTCTCCTCTAGTCCAAGGTCTTTTACCCAGTTCTTTCTGCTTTGTTTCTTGAAACATGCATAAACTCCTAACCTCGAATTTCTAGTTACACGGGCTTGTCTTAGAGTCCTCATCTTGTGAGTCTCAGCCCTGTGGCCAGCCTATGGCTCTTGTGTGGTCTTCTCTTTTACCTAACCATCTTCTTTCTTCAACTGTTCTTGCCTCTACCTGGCTGCACCTTACACTCCTAGTCCTGCTTCGTGAAACTCTTCGTGAAACTACTTTCTTCTTGGTGAAACTCGTGTGAATATCACAAGGCGTATTGGGGTCCTTGCTTATTCAAAAACATTCGTTGTACCTACTTTGTACTTCGTGCAATGTTCGGGGTGCTCGAACTTCTATGTACACAGCTTCAGAAAATCTATACATGCTTCACGCTGCGTTCAGTCGTCACCCTTCTCGATGCTTCTTGCTGGCTTCTTCTTCTTACCAGCCTTTCTTGCCACCACCACCATACTTCCATTTCCCTTTGCCTTGGTACTTCCCTTTCGGGGCGTAGTGGTAGTAGGCGTAGTCCGGCTCCCAGTAGTTCTGGCTCCAACCGTCGTCGGCGTACCAGTCCTGCTGCTGGTGCCAACTTTCTTGCTGCCAGTCTTCTTGCTCTCGACTTCTTCTTCCTCGCTTTCCTTCTTGCTGCACCTCAGGCTCATCTCTCTCTCTTCTGATTTCTGTGGGGCTCTCCCACCTTCCTGTCTTCTTGAAGTGCTTGGTCACGAGGTTCCAGTCTTCGGCACCTTTGATCTGCGCTCCTTTCACCTGCGCTGATCCTTTCTGATCGAGCCGAACTGCTCGATACTCATTCGTGTCTTTGCAATACTCCCAGATCCAACCACAATCTGTGAACGTGACCACATTCCATCTGCCCTTTGCGTTCTTGCTACCTTTCTCTCCTCTCTGCGGTGGTTCTCGGGGCTGCTCTTCTTCTTGCTCTCTTCTTTCTTCTGTTCCTGCTGCTCCTCCTTCTTCTTTTCCTTCTTCGCTCGACTCTGCA